ATCAGTTGTTCCATATCCAGTTCTAACTGTTGCTTCCTGTCCCACATATAGATTTCTCAGGAGGTAGATAAGGTGGTCAGGCACTCCCATTTCTTTATGAACGTCCCATAGTTTACTGTGGTCCACACAGTCAAAGGCTTTTGCATAGTCAATGAAGCAGAAATAGATGTTTTTCTGGAACTCTCTGGCTTTCTCCATAATCCAGCACATGTTAGAAATTTGGTCTCTAGTTCCTCTGCCCCTTTGAAATCCAACTTGTACTTCTGGGAGTTCTCAGTTCACATACTGCTGAAGCCTACCTTGTCCCATAGTTTACTGTGGTCCACACAGTCAAAGGCTTTTGCATAGTCAATGAAGCAGAAATAGATGTTTTTCTGGAACTCTCTGGCTTTCTCCATAATCCAGCACATGTTAGAAATTTGGTCTCTAGTTCCTCTGCCCCTTTGAAATCCAACTTGTACTTCTGGGAGTTCTCAGTTCACATACTGCTGAAGCCTACCTTGTAGGATTTTGAGCATAACCTTGCTAGCATGTGAAATGAGTACAATTGTAGGATAGTTGGAGCATTCTTTGTCACTGCCCTTCTTTGGGATTGGGATGTAGACTGATCTTTTCCAGTCCTCTGGCCATTGCTGAGTTTTCCAAACTTGCTGGCATATTGAGCGTAGCACCTTAATAGCATCATCTTTTAAGATTTTATATAGTTCCACCGGAATGTCATCACTTCCAGTGGCCTTGTTGTTAGCCATGCTCTCTAAGGCCCACTTGACTTCACTCTCCAGGATATCTGGCTCAAGGTCAGCAACCACATTATCTGGGTTGTGCGGGACATCCAGGTGTTTCTGGTATAATTCCTCTGTGTATTCTTGCCACCTCTTCTTGATGTCTTCTGCTTCTGTACTGTCCCTACCATTTCTGTCCTTTATCATGCCCATCTTTGTACAAAATTTTTAATCTAGCAAAGTATTATGTATTGTCCTGATCACAGAACATGGTGTATATAAATCATGGGAGGATATCACGCATCCTGCAAGCATCATGCACCCTCCTCACAAGACAATTTCTGCAGCCCCTCAAGGCCCTCCTCAAATACAGTGGTGCCTCGCAAGATGATTTTAATTCATTCATGGAAATCGAGTTCCCCATTGGAATGCATTGAAATCCATTTAATGCATTCCAATTGGGAAAAAATCACTGTCTTGAGAAAATTGTCCAGAGAAAACAGAAAACATCGTCTTGCAAAACACAGTTCCCCATATCATATTGGAGAAAAGCAATCCCCTCACCTGTACTGCCTTTGGAAATTCAATGGGTCTCAGATAACCTTCCCCTTCTTTCTCTCTCCAGCAACAAAGAAAGAAGGTAAAAGGAGTCAAATCCCCTTCTGTCCCCTGACCCCCCAAGTCATGGTGACCCCCTGGCTGCACCAGGAGAGACAGCAGCATACACTTTCTCCCCCACTTTTTTTGGGATAAAAAGGTAGGTCTTATGTAATTAATGTGTTCCAATTTGGGGGGAAAACTGTCTTGCGAAACAGGGTTTTAAAAAACTGTCTTGCGAGGCAGAGGCAAGGACCCAAACATCGTCCAGCGAAAATTGCCCAAAGGAACAATTGTTTTGTGAAGCACAACATCGCTCAAAAAGTCATCGTCTAGCGAATTCCTCATTTTGTGAGGCAATCGTCTAGGGAGGCACCACTGTATTTCAATTTTCAAAAATACCTGCCAGAAAGGCTAACATAAATGGCCACAAAAATGGCAGTTCAGCTTTCCCAGTTTATCTGCACCGTTTATTCCTTGTTTTAAGTTGTTTAATGATCATTAAAAGTTCATAGCCTTTATTTTAGCCTAAATTGTATTTTTTAACTTTAATTAAGCCATATTTTTCCATGTATAAGACGACCCTCAATTTTTAGCCTAAAGATTTTAGATAAAATTATCATCTTATACATGGAAAACTATGGTAATTAGGCTTAACTAATTAAAGAAATCCTCAATCAGAATAAGAATCTGTTTCTCAGCCACTGAGAAAGCACCCAGGAAGTACTTTATCTGAAAGAAAACGTTGTTCATTTATTAAATTAGTTAAGTTAAATAAATACAATTTAAAACAAAAATAAAGGCTGTTTTTTTAAAAAATGAGGGATGGTATAGCCCCGAGATTGCCTGTCAATATGCAATTTGGTCCTCAGTTAAGAAGAGATTACCTTCTCTAATGAAATTGAAAACATTCAGCTTCAAACTGACTTTCCACTAAATCCAAACATAACCACCACCACCAGCAGCAATTTCCTCCTATACCTCAACTCTGATGGGTTCCCAATGATGAAAAGCATTATTTAGGATTCACAGGGGTTTTGTAACAGGAGGGAGAAATGTCCATATTTCAAACAATTGCCTATACTTACATTGTGAAACTTATATGAACAGGATTTTATGTGAGAAATCTTTACATGAAATCCTTAAGAAAATGATCCAAGAAAATTAAGAAAATGATCCAAGCTACCATAATAAAATTAGGGGAATAGAGTTTTACCTGTAAACCACAACTGGCAGCTTCCACAATTGCCATGCAGAATGCTTCTGTGAGAGAAGTGTTTAAAAAAATCTGGCCCTGAACCAAAATGTTTCTGACATCCTGATGTTCTAAAGCTCCCAGAAGACGGACTCTGCATGCAATTATTAAGAAGAAAAATAAAAGATAATCTTAACAAAATCTTTTAGCCATGTGTACGATTATAAATCATATTTACGAATGTGCTTAATTATTTTATTGTCATTTATAAATTCAAGATGTGTCTCCTGTTCACTGGATTATGACATATCAAGAACCAAGACATACAATACTTTTCAATGGTGTTGGTTAACATAAAACTGCTGCAATTCATAATCCAACAGCCAAAACTGAAGTTTTTTTTCAAAAAGGTCTTCTGATTCTTGGTAAAGGTAAAGGTTCCCCTTGACAAATTTTTGTCCCGTCGTGTTTGACTCTAGGGGGAGGTGCTCATCCCCGTTTCCAAGCCATAGAGCCAGCGTTTTGTCCGAAGACAATCTTCCGTGGTCACATGGCCAGTGCGACTTAGACACGAAACGCTGTTACCTTCCCACCAAGGTGGTCCCTATTTATCTATTTGTATTTGCATGCTTTCGAACCGCTAGGTTGGCGGGAGCTGGGACAAGCAACCAGTGCTCACTCCGTCACGTGGATTCGATCTTACGACTGCTTGGTCTTCTGACCCTGCAGCACAGGCTTCTGCGGTTTAGCCCGCAGCGCCACCACGTCCCTACATGTCTGATTCATGTCTGATTCTTGAGCTGCATGCAAAACAGCTTAGAAATACTTTACTTCAGTTGGATTAGCCCCAAATATCCCTGACAAGGTACAAAAAATGAAGTAAAATGTATCAATGTGCCTGTGCCCCAGGCCTTGATGGAGCCTTGGGATCTCCCATAAGTGATTCCATCAGCTCCAGGCCACTGGTGAGATGGCTCTTTATTTAAAAAGATGTTTTGCAGTGCTGTTCCCTGTCACCACTATCCTGCATCCCAGAAGATTGTGTTTTCCACACTAGACTCCTGGAAGCAGTTCTATACTGGCCTCAGTAATCCTTGTAAAAAACAAGCCCATTCAGTGTTGTGATAGGAGCCTTTCAGTGAGCGTCAGCTCTTTTTCTGGTCTTCAGAAAGCCTCCTTCCAGATTTCCGGTTTGGCGTCACGACGAGACAGCAGCAGGAGATGGGGCTCCACTTCTTGAGGCTGCTAGAGATCACCAAGAGGTTCAAGCCACCCCGGAGAAGTGGCAGGTGAGGGGAAGATAACTGTTGATCATGGGGGAACAGCGGTTCTCCCCATTTGATCCAGGGAATGCCCCAGAACCAACAGGAAGAAAACAAGCTGCTGAAGAGCAGCTTGCCAAGTCGTCGGCAGCCGGGAAAAGCAAGCAATAACAAGCAATTGTTTAACATTGTGTTATCATCTGGGTGAGAATACCTACTAATTATACAGTGGTGCCTTGACTTACAAACACCTTGACCTACGAACAATTTGACTTACGAACAGCTCCGTTCACAAAATTTTACTTTGATTTGCAAATGGAGCTTTGACTTATGAATGGAAAAAGGCAGGGAAAGGGGGCGGGAAATTCAAATGTACTAATTGTTGGTGGCGAAGAGGCTGCTTCTTTGTAGCTCATTCACCCCAACGGTTAGAACAGGGGGTCAGGGGACTTTTTAACTTTTACAGTACAGGAAAGTACTGTACCGGGAACGGGATGCAGCGGCTCGGGTTGCTGCTGGTTCCTGTTTCCGCCAGGCCAGGGACTGAGCGCAGCCCGCTGTTGGCGGGTGGCTCCTGGGCTGCTCTTTGGGGCTCCTTGCCTGATGCAGCCCACCGTTGACACAGCAACGGTCAGTCCCTGGATAGTGGGACCATCCCGGGATGGGGATCACGGAGCCCGGCCGATGCAGAGCCAGGCTGCTCTTCGCCCGATGCCGCTGCCACTGCTGTGTCCCGTTCCCGCCGGGCAAGGGACTGACTGCTGCTGGGTCAAAGGTGGGCTGCATCAGGCAAGGAGCCCCAAAGAGCAGCCCAGGAGCCACCCGCCAACAGCGGGCTGCGCTGAGTCCCTGGCCTGGCAGGAACAGGACCCAGCAGCAGCATCAGGTGAAGAGCCCTGAAGAGCAGCCCAGCTCTGCATCATGGATGGTGATCACAGAGCCGAGCTAATGCAGAGCCGGGCTGCTCTTCAGGGCTCTTTGCCCAATGCTGCTGCTGGGTCCTGTTCCCGTCGGGCCAGGGACTCAGCGCAGCTCGCCGTTGGCAGGTGGCTCCTGGGCTGCTCTTTGGGGCTCCTTGCCTGATGCAGCCCACCTTTGACTGAGCAGCAGTCAGTCCCTGGCCCGGCGGGAACGGAACCCAGCAGTGACGGTGGCATCGGTCGAAGAGCCTCGAAGAGCAGCCCGGCTCTGCATCGGCTGGGCTCCGTGATCACCATCTGTGATCTGGCGGCAGAGCCTGGGAGGATTCCCAGTGGTGGCGGCAGAGCCTGGGAGGCCTCATGGCAGCGGCAGAGCCCAGGAAGCCGCCTGGCGGCAGAGTCTGGGAAGCCTCCCGGCGATGGAGGCAGAGCACAGAAAGCCTCCTGGCTGTGGCAGCAGAGCCTGGGAAGTCTCCCGTCATGCCTCCCGCTTGCTCCTTGCCACCCTCCATGGACTGATGCCGTCGCTGGTGCCCGACACCGGTTCCAGCTCCAGAACTGGCACCAGCAGTAGCTCACCAGGGCCTCGGCGTTCCTCGCTGCCCTCCGCCATTTGGATTTCCCACCATCGGCCCACGGAGGGTGGTAAGAATGCCAAGGACCAACACATCCACCCTGGCAAGCAGCCACTGGTGCCAGTTCCGGAGCTGGAGCCAGTGTCGGGCACCTGTGGCAGCATCGGTCTGCGGAGGGTGGCAAGGAGCAAGCGGGAGGCAAGCAGCTGAAGCATCCCAACCAGGCTCAAGCCTCACGGCCATGGTGGTCACAGCAGCAGTGGAAACCTGGGAGGCTGAGGAGGCTTCTGCTTTTTAAGGTACTGCTTTTTAAAAAAGTTTTTGTTTTGTTGCGCGGGTTGAGGGTAGGTGTTTTGTTTTTGGTAAATACTTTTTTGCCGTCCCAGCATGGGACTTGCTCTTGTTTATTTTTATTTTTATTTATTTTATTTTATTTTTTGAAATGCTGGAATGAATTAATCCCATTCCCATGTATTTCAATGGGAAATGGTGCTTTGACTTATGAACGTTTTGACTTAAGAACGCCATTCTGATACGGATTAAATTTGTAAGTCAAGGCACCACTGTATTAGCCTCATTACCATCCCTAGATAAGATAGCCCCTTAAAAAGAAAAAAGAGCTCCAAATTCTCCCACCACCACCAGGGAAAGGAAAGCAGCGGCAGAACGAAAGGAGCAGTTTTGCTGTCTCCAAAGGGGGAATAAGGAGATGAGAAGGGAAGCAATTTGATGAACATTAATTGGACATTAACGAGACACTTAAAAGAAAATACCTTAGTGAAGGAGAGAAGTTAAAGTTCCTTGTCGTTTTGGCTTTGAGTTTGTAAAATTGGACATTACCATTGTTAAACATATTAAAGAGTGGAGAAGAAAACAGTGGAATTTTTGTTGTTGCTAAGTGGTGGACTGGCAGAGAGCTTGGACAAGAGCAGCTGGTATCTTGAGAAGTGACCTTGGAATATTTTCAACTCAAAGACCAGGCTGCCTTATTTTGAGATCTGTGGTTTGGTTAGAAAACAGACAATTTAACCCTGGAATGGCTAACTGGTTAATGTGGATTTGTAAGAACTAAAAACCATATACCATCTGGTCATGTGGATACAATCACTGATTGAACTAGATTGACTAATATTGACTGAACTGGATAGAACTAAAATTGGAATTGACTCAGGTTTTTCCCCCCTGTGTTTCTCGTCTGTTCTCTTTTAATTTGGGGGGGGGTTTCCCTCCCATTCCCCCCCCCCAGATCAATGCAGGGAACTGACAGACTAAAGAAAGATATGGGGGTTTAGTGGTAATGTATCATACTGTATTACCAATGATTAAGTATAACTATTCGATGGAGAGAATGGTGGTTGGGCAAATATAATTCTGGATACTATCTGAACAACTAGGCAAAGAAATCCAGGATGAGCTTACCAAATATTTCTAAAACTAAACTTCAAAAAAACAAAAAAAACACAAAACTTCCTCTGCACCCCCATCTGGGGCCTCCAGCCCAACACAACAAAGAACAATTGATATGTCACAACAAGAAAATTTTCAAAAAGACCTGCAGGCAATTCTCCAGATGATACAAGAAACAGTTATATCTAACAAACAGGAGACAAAATCAAACCAAGAAGAGACAAGAAGAAATCATGAAGAAACCAAATCAACAGAAAATGGAAGGAAAAATCAAGAAGATGAATAAACAGATTTTTAAGATGAATACACAACTACAGTACAAGATATTCAACAAAGGACCATAAAAAATGAACAAAAAATCATGAAGCTAGAAGACAGTGCAGGCCAATTCCATAAGAAATTGCATGAACTCAGAGAAGAAAACCAAAGATTGCATCAAACTAATAAAAAATTAGAAGATTCAGTCACAATTATCGAGATGGAAAGAGCCTCAAATATTCTGATTCCAAAATATACCAGAAGATAAGGAGGAAGACCTATCAGATTTAATTACAACTATACAGTGGTGCCTCACATAGTGACGTTAATCCGTGCAGCAAAAATTGCTGCTAAGCGATTTCATCGCTATGCAATTTTAAAAAGCCCATAGAAACGCATTAAAACCTGTTTAATGCATTCCTATGGGCTAAAAACTGACCTTAAAGCGAAGATCCTCCATACGGCGGCCATTTTTGCTGCCTCTTAAGCGAGGAATCCGTGCGAAAACACAGCAGGTGGCCATTTTTTAAATCCGGTGGCCATTTTGGATATGCCGATCAGCTGTTAAAATATCATTACTTTGTGATGATCGGTAAGCGAAACAGGGAACCGATCATCGCAAAGCGAAAAAACCCCATAGGAAACATCGCAATGCGATCGCTTTTGTGATCGCAAAAAGTTTGTCGCTATGCGGTTTCGTCGCTAAACGGAGCGCCCGTTAAGCGAGGCACC